AACTTGTAACTTATAAGCAACACCAATTTATTTTTCACAATTCTAAGACTGGGAAATCCAAGATCAAGGCACTGGAAGAGTCGGTGTTTAGTAAGGGCCCACTGCTGGTTCAAGAAAGCATGTTCTTGCTGCATCCTATTACGGTAGAAGGACAAACAACCCTTGGGCCTATTTTATGAAGCCACTAATCTCATTCAAGACAGTCTGACCAAATCACCTTCCAAAAGGCCCTACTTTCCACTGCCATCACCTTGGGGTTAAGAAATCAACATACGAGTTTTTGGGGAACACACTCAGTCCATGGCATCTACCATTCAGAAGTAGCTGGCTTGATAAAATGGTGGAAGGCCTTTTGAAGTTTGGGAGTAGCAGCTAGGTGGAAATACCTTGTAAGCTGGGCTGGTTTTCCAGAAGATTCTAAAATTAGCATTTCAACAATGGTACTGTTTCTTCTCGAATATAGGATGGCCAATGGGAATGGCACCATTCACTATAACCTAGTGCCTCACTACCAATTTTTCATTTCCTGTCCCTAAGTTCTGTCTGCTCTGTTGGCCTAGAGGTCTAGTTCTAAAGCAGAAAAATGCTTTGATCAGGGGACACAACAATGGTTCCATTGACTTGAACATTAAGACTGTTATTGAGAGATTCCAAGATGGTGGCTAGAGAGAAGAAGCAGAAAGCGTGCTTCCTAAAGTAAAAATCTTGGAGCAATGCTGGAGATACACCCTACAGGAAAAAAACACTGAGAAGAGGCAAAACTTTGACTCCTCCACACCCCCAGCCCATGCATAGCATCTCCATTTCACATTAAACAGAGAAACCAGGAGGGCTCCCGTGCCACCAGACGCCCAGTGCCCCAGATGGCTTGGGAAGACACAGACAAGGTGAGCTAAGCAGCATTTGGTGTTTACCCACAGACAACCCTGGGACAGATCAGCATAGCCCTGGACAGACCGACTCCCACCCAGGGAAAAAAAGAGAAAACTGAATAATAAGCAATAAGAAAAGGTACATAGCAAAAGAGGGGGTGGGCGCCTGATGCTGAGAGGGGGGGGAGGCGAAATCCCTCCATGACTGTAAATAAACAAGAGCTGGAGAAGCAGGAGTGTGGCACACCAGCAATCAGGAGCAGGGAAAAGTTGTAAAAGCGGTGGTGGGAGGAAAACTCCACAGGAGAGGGGGAAGGACCCACTTCCCATGTGAACTGAATAAAAACACGCCAGAGAAAGCAGTTGCAGTGCCACTCCCCCAGTGTGCTTTGGAAAGGGGAAAGCTTGTAACAGTGAAGTTGTCACCAGGAGAACTCTAGTAAACAAAGCCTGAGGGCAGGTGAGTGTTAAGCTCACCTGAGATCTGCATAAATAAAGCCTCCAGCAACAGCAGGCTGACAGCAGGGCAGTGAGCCACAGCCTCAATATACCATTCACAGAACCTGTCTCCGACTTTTTTTTTTCTCTCTTCCTTTGATGAGACAACAACCAGAACTACACCTGCATGCTGAAAAACTTACTGAAACTTATTGCATTTGAACTTGGGACACTTTGGTGTGTTTTGTGTTTTTTTTTTTTTGTTTTTTCCCCTTTGATGAGACAAACAGAACTACTTCTGAGACACCATCTCGAGATTGGAGGCTGAGGACTAACACCAAAATTATTAAGACTGAAACTTTATTGCATTTGAACTTGGATTTTTTTTTCAAATCCTCTCTCTGTCTCTCTAATGCCTGTTTAGCTTACTGTTGATTAGTACACTATCTCTCCTGTTTATATCTTTGAAACTTTTTTGTTTGTTTGTTTTTTTTTTGTTTGTTTATTTGTTTTCCCTTTTTCTTTACCTTCTTTGCTTTCCTCTCCTCTCACCTTCCATTCTAAATACCACCATTATTATTACAAGCTAGAAAATACTTAATGCACACAGTACAGGGACAATAACAACACCAAGGCAATGGGAAGACAAAAAACAGGGAAACCAGTTTCCCCACAGCAAAAAATTAGTACAGAACCAGAGGAAATGAAGAAAACAGATACTCAGATCCAGACTCCAACAAAATGAAGATAAACTATGCCAAAGAACCCAATGAAGCCACAAGAATAATCTAAAAGAAGAAATCCTACAGGTAATCAATGAGAATTTTATAGAGATGATACTGGATATGGTCAACCAAAATGTACAGGAGACACTCAAGAAATTCCAAGACAAAAAAATAGAGAATTTGAAGAGCACAAGAAGAAATAAAAGAAACCATAGAAGCACTGTATAAACACCAAAGTGAAACAAAGAACATGATTAATAAAGAGATAAATGAACTCAGGACAAAAATAGACAACATTAAAGAGGAAGGGACTCAGGATATGGAAAAACCTCAGAAAAAAGAATGAAACAGAATGCAAACAAAATGGAAGGCCAATCCAGCAGAATAGAACAAAACAGAAGACAGATCTCAGAACTCGAAGATGAAATGGTAATTAAAGGAAAAACTGAAGAACTATTAGTTAAACAACTCAAGACCTGTGAAAAGAAAATGCAAGAACTCACTGACTCCATCAAAAGACCAAACCTGAGAATCATGGGCATTGAAGAAGGAGAAGAGGTGCAAGCAAAGGAATGCATAATATATTCAACAAAATAATAACAGAAAATTTCCCAAATCTAGAGAAATCTATTCCCATACACATGCAAAGGCCTCCAGAACATCAAACAGACCAGAACAAAATAGAACTACCACACAGCACATTATCATTAAAGCAACAAGTACAGAGACCCAGGAAAGAATATTGAAGGCTGTAAGAGAGAAAAAACAAATAACATACAAAGGTAAACCCATCAAAATCACAGCAGACTTCTCAACAGAAACATTAAAAGCAAGAAGAGCTTGGGGTGAGATCTTCCGGGGCACTGAATGAAAATAACTTCAACCCAGGATACTCTACCCAGCAAAACTATCATTCAAAATAGATGGAGCAATAAAAGTCTTCCATGATAAGCAGAAACTAAAACAATATGTGACCACAAAGCCACCACTACAAAAGATTCTTCAAGGGATTCTGCACACAGAAAGTGAAACCCAACATAACCATGAAAGGGCAGGCAGCACCAAACTACAGGAAAGAAAAAGCAAGAAAGTAGAGAGTAACCTCAACTTAGGTACACACAATCAAACCTTCAAACAACTAAGACAACTAAATGACAGGAATCACCACATACCTATCAGTACTAACACTTAATGTTAATGGACTTAATTCCCCCATCAAAAGGCACCTTTGATGAACTGGATTAAAAAGGAAGATCCAACAATTTGTTGCTTACAGGAGACCCATCTCACTGACAGAAATAAGCATAGGCTTAGGATGAAAGGCTGGAAGAAGATTTACCAAGCCAATGGCCCCTGAAAACAGGCAGGAGTAGCAATACTTATCTCTGACAAAGTAGACTTCAAACCTACATTGATCAAATGAGATAAAGAAGGACATTCCATACTAATAAAAGGGGAAATAGACCAAAAGGAAATAACAATTATCAACCTATATGCACCCAATGTCAATCACCCAATTTCATCAAACATACCCTGAAGGACCTAAAAGCATATATTAACTCCAACACAGTGGTCGTGGGAGACTTTAACACCCCATTATCATCAATAGATAGGTCATCCAAACAAAAAATCAATAAAGAAATATTAGATCTAAAATATACCATAGATCAAATGGACCTAGTTGATGTCTACAGAACATTTCATCCAACTTCTACACAATATACATTCTTCTCAGCAGCCCATGGAACCTTCTCCAAAATAGATCATATCCTAGGGCACAAAGCAAGCCTCAGCAAATATAAGAAAATAGAAATTATACCATGCATTCTATCTGATCACAATGCAATAAAACTAGAACTCAACAACAAAAGTAAAGACAAAAAACATGCAAACAGCTGGAAACTGAATAACTCATTGCTTAATGAACAATGGGTCATTGATGAAATAAAAGAGGAAATTAAAAAGTTCCTGGAAGTCAATGAAAATGAAAACACAACCTACCGGAACCTATGGGACACAGCAAAGGCAGTCCTGAGAGGAAAGTTTATAGCCATGAGTGCATATATTAAAAAGACTGAAAGATCCCAAATCAATGATCTAATGATACATCTCAAACACCTAGAAAAACAAGAACAAGCAAATCCCAAAACAAATAGGAGAGAAAAATAAAAATTAGAGCTGAAATCAATGAAATAGAAACCAAAAAAAACCATACAAAGAATTAATGAAACAAAAAGTTGGTTCTTTGAAAAAATAAACAAGATGACAGACCCCTGGCAAACCTGACTAAAATGAGGAGAGAAAAAACCCAAATTAGTAGAATCAGGAATGCAAAAGGGGAGATAACAAAAAACACCATGGAAGTCCAGGAAATCATCAGAGACTACTTTGAGAACCTATATTCAAATAAATTTGAAAATCTTAAAGAAATGGACAGATTCTAGATATATTGATCATCCAAAACTGAACCAAGAGGAATTAATCACCTGAATAGATCTATAACACAAAATGAAATTGAAGCAGCAATCAAGAGTCTCCCCAAAAAGAAAAGTCCAGGACCTGATGGATTCTCTGCTGAATTCTATCAGACTTTTAAAGAAGAACTGACCAACCCTCCTTAAACTGTTCCACGAAATAGAAAGGGAAGGAAAACTGCCTAACACATTTTATGAAGCCAGTATTACACTTATCCCAAAACCAGGCAAAGACACCTCCAAAAAGGAGAACTATAGGCCAATCTCCTTAATGAACATTGATGCAAAAATCCTCAATAAAATAATGGCAAACCGAATTCAACAACACATCAAAAAGATCATTCACAACCAAGTAGGCTTCATCCCAGGAATGCAGGGTGGTTCAACATATGAAAATCAATAAATGTAATAAACACATTAACAGAAGCAAAGACAAAAACCACTTGATCATCTCAATAGATGCAGAAAAAGCCTTTGATAAGATCCAACACCATTTCATGATAAAAGCTCTAAGAAAACTAGGAATAGAAGGAAAGTACCTCAACATTATAAAAGCTATATATGACAAACCTACAGCCAGCATTATACTTAACAAAAACTGAAACCATTCCCTCTAAAATCAGGAACGAGACAAGGATGCCCACTATCTCCACTCCTATTCAACATAGTACTGGAATTCCTAGCCAGAGCAATTAGGCAAGAAGAAGGAATAAAAGGAATACAAATAGGTAAAGAAACTGTCAAAATATCCCTATTTGCAGATGATATGATCCTATACCTTAAAGACCCAAAAAACTCTACTCAAAGCTTCTAGACACATCAATAGCTATAGCAAGGTAGCAGGATATAAAATCAACATAGAAAAATCATTAGCATTTCTATACACTAATAATGAACAAACTGAGAAAAGAATATATGAAAACAATTCCATTTACAATAGCCTCAAAAAAAATCAAATACCTAGGTGTAAACCTAACAAAGGTGTGAATGACCTCTACAAGGAAAACTATAAACTTCTGAAGAAAGAGATTGAGGAAGACTATAGAAAGTGGAGAGATCTCCCATGCTCATGGATTGGTAGAATCAACATAGTAAAAATGTCTATACTCCCAAAAGTAATCTACATGTTTAATGCAATTCCCATCAAAATTCCAATGACATTCATTAAAGAGATTGAAAAATCTACCGTTAAATTTATATGGAAACACAAGAGGCCACGAATAGCCAAGGCAATACTCAGTCAAAAGAACAATGCTGGAGGTATCAATACTCGACTTCAAACTATATTACAAAGCAATAACAATAAAAACAGCATGGTACTGGCACAAAAACAGACATGAAGACCAGTGGAACAGAATAGAGGACCCAGATATGAAGCCACACAACTATAACCAACTTATCTTTGACAAAGGTGCTAAAAGTATACAATGGAGAAAAGATAGCCTCTTCAACAAAAACTGCTTGGAAAACTGGTTAGCAGTCTGCAAAAACCTGAAACTAGATCCATGTATATCACCCTACACCAGTATTAACTCAAAATGGATCAAGGATCTTAATATCAGACCAAACTCTAAAGTTGGTACAGGAAAGAGTAGGAAATACTCTGGATTAGTAGGTATAGGTAAGAACTTTCTCAATGGAACCCCAGCAGCACAGCAACTAAGAGATAGCATAGATAAATGGGACTTCATAAAACTAAAAAGCTTCTGCTCACAAAAGAAATGGTCTCTAAACTGAAGAGACACCCACAGAGTGGGAGAAAATATTTGCCAGCTACACATCAGACAAAGGACTGATAACCAGAATATATAGGGAACTTAAAAAACTAAATTCTCCCAAAACTAATGAACCAATAAAGAAATGGGCAAGTGAACTAAACAGAACTTTCTCAAAAGAAGAAATTCAAATGGCCAAAAACACATGAAAAAATGCTCACCATCTCTAGCAATAAAGGAAATGCAAATTAAAACCACACTAAGATTCCACCTCACCCCTGTTAGAATAGCCATCATTAGCAACACCACACAACAGGTGTTGGCGAGGATTGGGGAAAAAGGAACCCTCTTACACTGTTGGTGGGAATGTAAACTAGTACAACCACTCTGGAAAAAAATTTGGAGGCTACTTAAAAAGCTAACATTGATCTACCATTGATCCAGCAATACCACTCTTGGGGATATACCCAAAAGACTGTGACACAGGTTACTCCAGAGGCACCTGCACACCCATGTTTATTGCAGCACTATTCACAATAGCCAAGTTATGGAAACAGCCAAGATGCCCCACCACTGACGAATGGATTAAGAAAATGTGGTATTATACACAATGGAATTTTATGCAGCCATGAAGAAGAACGAAATGTTATCATTCCGGGTAAATGGATGGAATTGGAGAACATCATTCTGAGTGAGGTTAGCCTGGCCCAAAAGACCAAAAATCGTATTTTCCCTCATATGCGGACATTAGATCAAGGGCAAACACAACAAGGGATTGGACTTGATCACATGATAAAGCGAGAGCACACAAGGGATATGAGGATAGGTAAGACACCAAAAAACTAGATAGCATTTGTTGCCCTCAATGCAGAGAAACTAAAGCAGATACTTTAAAGCAACTGAGGCCAACAGGAGAAGGGGACCAGGAACTAGAGAAAAGGTTAGTTCAAGAAGAATTAACTGAGAAGATAACACACATGCACAGGAAATCAATGCGAGTCAACTCCCTGTATAGCTATCCTTATCTAAACTAGTAAAAACCCTTGGTCCTTTCTATTATTGCTTATACTCTCTCTTCAACACAATTAGCAAGAAGGGCAAAATAGTTTCTGCCAGGTAGTGAGGGGTCGGGGGGTGGGAGGAGGGGTAAGGAGGGGGCAGGGGTAAGTGGGACAGACCCAAAACATTCTATGCACATATGAATAAAATTAAAATTTTTTTTAAAAAAGAAAGAAAGAGGAGGGGGATGAGGGAGAACAATGGAGGGTGTGAATCTAAGATATATTGTAAGCATATATGTAAATATCACAATGTATCTCCTGTACAACTATTATATTCTAATAAAAACACAGTTTAACCTCAATAAAAAAAAACCAATCAGCAAACCAGCATAACACACTGACAGCAGGGAACTAACTGATGGATCTCTGACCTTGCCCCAAAGAAGGGGTCATGGCAAAGAAACAAGCCCCCAGTAAACCAACACAGAGAAAACCCAACTCCAAAGCAGGATGACTGGTTAACCACAGAGAAGATCTCCAGAACCTGAGGACAAGCCACACCTCACTGAGGGAGGAGCTGACTAAGCAACTTCTGCTGAAAGACAGGAAAAAAAACTGGCGAGTCTCCCCAACCACCTGGCAAGACTAAGACAGAGCTTCTGCTTAAATACCAACACCAGGGCTGGATGCTGAAGGAGTAACAACAGAACTACTAAGACTGAAATTCAATTGTTCCTGAACCTGGAATTTTTTATGTGTTTGTTTGGTTGGTTGGTTCCCTGTTTGTTTGTCCACAACCCCTCCCTGTTGATTTCTTTGGTTTTCTTTTTTTTTCATGCTTTTTTTGTTTTCTTAGTTCTAATACTAAATTACACACAGACAAGGGACAGAAACAGTACCAAGTGGAACGATGGGAAGATGAAAAAGGAATGGAAACCATTCTCCCCCCAAAACTAATTTAATACGAGATTCAGAGGGAAATGAAGAAAACAGATACCCAGTTTCAGAATCCAACAAAACCAGGATAATTTATCCTAAGGAACCCAACGAAGTCCACAAAAACAATCTGAAAGAAGAAATCCTGCAAGTAATCACTGAGAATTTCATGGAGATGTTACTAGACCTAGTCAACCAAAATGTACAAGAGGCACTCAAGAAATTCCAAGACAACAAAAATAAAGAATATGAGAAGACACAAAAACAAATAAATGAACTTATAGGAACCCTAAATAAACACCAAAGTGAAACAGAGAACACCATAAATAGAGAGATTAATGAATGAAGGATGAAAATTGACAATATTAAAGAGTAAGTGACCCATGATATGGAAAACCTCAGAAAAAAGAATGAAACAGAAATACAAAACACAATGGAAGGCCACTCCAGCAGAAGACAAAATCTCAGAACTTAAAGATGAAATGGAAATTAAAGGAAAAACTGAAGAACTATTACTCAAACAACTCAAGACCTGTGAAAGGAATATGCAAGAACTCACCGACTCCTTCAAAAGACCAAACCTGAGAATCATGAGCATTGAAGAAGGAGAAGAGGTGCAAGCAAAAGGAATTTGTAATACATTCAACAAAATAATAACAGAAAATTTCCCAAATCTAGAGAATACTATGCCCATTCAGGTACAGGAAGCCTCCAGGACACCAAAAGGACTTGACCAAAATTGAACTACCCCATGACATATTATCATTAAAATAACAAGCACAGAGAATAGAGAAATAATATTGAAGGCTGTAAGAGATAAAAACAAATAACATACAAAGGTAAACCCATCAAAATCACAGCAGATTTCTCAACATAAACCTTAAAAGCAAGAAGAGCATGAGTGAGGTATTCCAGGCACTGAATGAAAATAACTTCAACCTTAGGATACTCTACCCAGCAAAACTATCATTCAAAATAGATGGAGCAATAAAAGTCTTCCATGATAAGCAGAACAACAACAAATGTTTGTGAGGATGCAGGGAAAAATGTACCCTCATACACTACTAGTGGGATTGTAAGCTGGTACAACCACTATGGAAAACAATATGGAGGCTTCTTGAAAACCTAAACATAGATCTTCCATATGATCCAGCAATACCACTCCTTGGGATATGCCCAAAGGAAAGAGACCCAAGTAATGTATACACATGTAAGTAAATGTAAAAATGATAGAATAAAATTTTTTAAAAAGCCCAGAGGTGTAACTTAGTAGTAATTATCTTACCTTGGGAATGAGATAGTTTCTGAATTTAATGTCAGAGGTTACTGCACGGGGCAAGCCAGTGGGACACAGATCAATGTGTCTCTGGATCTCATGCAACACAGCATCTGTGTAGGGCATGTTTCTTCTGTCTTGCATGCAAGGGATCCGATGTCTGCCAACCACACAATCAATCTCCTCTTTGACTTTAACTGGTAAAACACAAGCACAAAATGATAGAATAGGAGAAAAGTGGCAAGTTTGTCACAGCAATCCAGTGCTACATGGAGCATGATGAAGGTGTCTCTAAGGAATTATAAATATAAATTTTATGCCCAAAGGAACACTTAGACATGTACAGTCATTTGGCATGACATAGGTGCACACCACTTGCCTAAAATATAGGCATGCTGTTATGTGGGCACATACTTATAAATTAGCATACATGTTAACTAATATCAGTAGATTGAATTGAATGATTCAGTTTCTGGGTTCTGTCAATATTTATTGTTTACATAATTCTTACTACATAAATATTGTTCCCTGTTATGAAAACTATGGTTATGTTTCACTCTAGGTCCTATCTTGGATTTAAGCTTGTTTCTCTGTATCAGTTCATAATTTTCCATTTCTTGAGGTGCCATTACTTCCAGCTATTGAAAAAAATGTTTCAAATTCCACAGAGTAATTTAACCCTGAGACTCTATATCAATTCATAATTTTTCATGTCTTAAGTCAAAATCACTTTCAAAATCTCATACATTTGTTTCAAACTCAGAGGAATGAATGCCCAGCTATTGGAAAACCTCAGACTACTGATCATTTCTCTTTTGTTCCTTGCTCTCCCTCAAACATGCATCATCTACCTGTTTCATTTTGAAGTGAGTGTTTTCTGGCCTGGTGCCCAGAAGTCTCCCTGACACTAATCTTTCCTTATAACTCATTCCAAGTTCTGGAGTCTCTGACTTGGTTTCAGACATTTGTACAAGCAAATTTTACAGTATTTTCTGAGAAAGAGGGGGGTTGCCTAAAATTTTAGGCAGGTGTGTGGCACTACAAAGCCCTTTTGCATAAAAAACTAGACTCTGGAGCTGTTATTACTCATAACTCTTATATGACAATATATTTCTCTGAAAATTTTATTGTTTTCTCTTCAATCCTGGTGGCATAAAATTCCATTGTCTTGGGTCTTTATTTCATTCACCCTATAGGACATTTGGATAGAAATTTCTGTTAAAGTGACAAAGTATAAAGTTTCTACTCCATAGTCCTTCACTCTCTGAAGGATGGATCTGGCTGTTAATTCCAGAAATCTAGATGAAGAAAATATTTCATAATTCCTGAATGCAGGGGCAAGAATATTACCAAACATTTCACTCTTTCTCTGGCACTGCCCAAGGCTCTTGAATACAAGACTTCTCAGGCTCAGTTTCTCTCCAGAGTGAGCTTCTTTTCCTCAGAGGGAAAATTAAGCATCTAGTGAATATAGATGAAGCAGGAACACTGGCAAAGATAACCTCTTTTGTCAACCTCATTTTCTACATTCTTTGATACCTGTTATTTCCAAACAGGTATGCTTATGGGGATTATAGGGATACAGTTACTTTCCTTCCCTCATAAATCTATATTCTCTGTCAATTGTGCTGCATATCATACTCCCTACTTATTTAATTATTATCCTTCAATCTGCTGAAGTATAATCAGAAATTTGTTGAAGACTTGGATGCTTACTTTTCTCTCCTCCTAACTTAAAAGAATTAATTCTTGTTCATAATTATGTTATTTTTTCAGTGGATACTGGACACAGAAAAGAAAATATCTTTCATGTAAGCTGCATAATAGGAACTCTTTGAAAGTAAATTTCTAAAGTAACTTTGTTCATAAAAATTAAAATCTTTTGTTTTTTATATCCATATAAGAAAATACAAGATTGAAATTGTTCTAAGAGTGGGAGGGAAGTGAGAGAATGATGAAAGGGTTAAATCTAACTAAGATATATTGTAAGCACATATGTAAACATCACAGTGTATCCCTTGTACAACTATTATATGCTAATAAAATCATTAAAAAGAAATGTAAAAAAAATTAGAATTTATGGGCTGATGGAGTGGCTCAAGTGGTAAAAGCACCTGCCTAGCAAGTGTGGTTCCTTGAGTTCAAACCCCAGTGCCACCAAAAAGAAAAATCATTGACTTGTACCCTGTAAAAACACTTTTATATTGTCAAACAGAAGTTTTATGAAAATAGACTTATAGCATAATCAAATTCCTTTAGGTGCACCTTCTGCTTAAGTGGAAATACCTTTATGATGAGCTCAAGTTTTTAGAACACTTCTCAGAATGGATATTCTATCATATAGCCTTGCCAAATTCTAAGACTTTCAGTTATGCCTCATTAAAGATAGTTTTCTTTTACCTATCCCAGATTTAGAATTATTAGACTGAGGAAAGGTAGACCAGATTTATATTCTGTGAAAAGTATCAACTAAAATGCAATCCCACGTTAATTTATGCTGACTGTGCCTGCCACAAATTACCTCCCATGAAACCCAGATACCAATCCTGAGTTTTATTGCTTTTCCTACTGCCATGTTCTCTTTGTTTCTCTCATTTATCATTGTGTTTCAGATAGTGGCTCAGATGGTTAAATAATGAAGCTCCTCCAAGGTAAACAATATGAAAGATATTAATGATGTCTCCCAACATCTTCCTAAAATTTATATTATCATCTTGTGCACTCTTACCTGTGACATGTGGATACTTCATCAGGAGCAGTAGAGCATATCTCAGTGTTGTGCTTGTTGTGTGAGTCCCAGCAGTAAACAAATCATATAAGGTGGCAACCAAACTTTCATAGTTATACTTGGACTGTGGGTTGTGCTTTTCCTAGGAATCATTTTATTTGATTTTATTATGTGTAAATGATTTGCAACATTTATATTATAGTAAATTCAAAATTACAATGTTATAAAGTTCGCCAACAGAAAACCAGCAGACCACAGTATTAGTACTTTATAGTATAGAAAACACTGTAAATCTGTTGACCCAAACTTCATTTCCAAGACCCTAACTTCTTGCCTACCTAAACTTTCCATTCGTGAGGCTCTTTGCTAGTAGGCATATCATGCAGCATGTTTCTTTCCTTAAAATATAAAATCAAAAGCTTACTGTTGTCCCTTGCTGTATTTTCTCCTTCTTACCTAATGTAGAGCTATGAGGGAGCAGTTAGGGTAGGTAACATCTTGGGACATTAGGGAATAATCATAAAAAATGAAAGTCTCAATTTCAAATATGAAGAGCAATCTGCACTGGATACTCATGGTGTCAAGGTTACTTCATCATCCCTATACTGGATAACCATGACACTCTGTTTTTTCAGGAAAATAAACCTAATATTTGTTTAAGCAAATAGTAACTATATTTTCTCTCATTTGTAAATAAACACAATATTTATGAAAAACAGAAAAATGGGGGCCATACCATGGTAGATGTTGTAAGTCTGAGACATGATTGCAACTCTCTTCTTCTATCAAAAATTTATTATAATCAACATTCCCTACAGACTAATTATTAAAGCTAATATCTCCAAAATACTAGAAGGAATTATAGGTAAATAGATGGATTCTCCAAGTCATGGTAGTACTGCTACTCTAATCCAAATGGGAAGCCACAGGAATAATGGTAATAGGCAATATGGTATCACAGAGGATATAAATGTGCAAACTGAAGAGAAACTAATTTAAAACATAGAGCTGATGCATCGGTTTCCCATATGGGATAATGAAGACAGCAAGAGCAATACATATGTCAAGGCTAAGGTTTAAGACTGAGAAGATGATGTAAAACAGAACTGACAAGATTGCAGCTATCTATTGAGCACAGGGACTCCATAACACAGAAAAATATTGTTTTCTTACTAGTCCCTGAACCATTTATTTAACAGATTTTTCTGCTTTTTTTTTTTCTTTTTCTTCTTCTTTTTTGTGCAGCAATGAGGAATGAACTCAAAGTCTCATGCTTGCTAGGTAAGGAATGTATCACTTGAGCCACATCCATAGTCCTGTTGTTTTTAGTTTGTTTTTATGATAATATCCGGTACTAACTTTGTCCAGACTGGCATCAGAGTGTGATCCTCTTACCTCTGGCTCCCAAGTAGTTTTGATTACAGGCATGGGCCAACCGACAAGCCCCACTTATTTTTGAGATTCATTCTTGCTAACTTTTTGACTAGGCTGGCCTCAAACCATGATCCTCCTCTCTCCACCTCTCTAGTAGCTGGAAATAAACACATGCACCACCACACCAGGGTCCAGTTAAAGTGATTTTATGATATCCAGGTGACCTGTGGTATGTCTACTATTATATGATCTATTCCATTAAAATAAAACCCTGCAACATGTATACTTACTAGACAAAGATAGTCCTCTCCTTTGGAAATATCAACTACATGTACTTTTCTAAATTCATCAAGTTAAAGTTACTCTTAAGTTTTTAGTCACATTTATTACTCCCAAGGAGTGTACTCATAAACCATTATTAATTTTTCCATATACTCAAATGAAGTTGCATATTTAGTGATTACAGACAGGCTATCATAATTAAGCTTATTTATGTAAAACAAAGTTAAAAAATAAAAAATATCCTAGATAAATGGGCACACATTCCATGTCATAAAAAATGAAATACCAATATTGTCATAATAGCATTATAAAAACAATGTCACAAAGATACTAGATAAGGGCATTCAGAAATTATTCTTTCTACAAAAAAATAGTCATTAATCTTGCATAATCAGTCTGCAGAAACTATTTTGGAACTCTTAGGTGTACACTTGCAGCATCCTATGAAGTGTTGGATGAAGAAAGTTTCAGTAAATTTATTTCTTCATACTCTAATTCTGGGAAATGCAGTTTTGTGAATAGTGTACTGTGTTGGTGGATAGCTCATAGGTATCAGACTGGGCAATAAGGACCTTTTCCTTCAAAAACTGGAGTTGTGTCTTTTGATTACTGATGGGTTAGTACAGATGATGGCCATTGTTTTAACCCCCATGGGCTCAACGAACTTCCATCTTGACATCAAATGAGGGATTTAAAGAAGAAAAATTTCAATTAATATGCTGGGCATTGTGGTGCATGCCTATAATCCCAGCTACGCTGGAGGCAATAGGTAGGAAGATCATCATATGAGTCCAGACCTGGGCAAAAAGTGTGAAATCCTATCTGAAAATAATTAAAGAAAAAAAAGTGTTGCTAGATAGAGTTTCTACTTACCAAGTCCAAGGCTCCTAGTTCAAACCCCAGTACAAAAAATAATAATGAAAGTCAACATGTAATGTAAAGGTCAGATAATCAATGAAGAGAAAGAAGTTAGGAAAAGTAAACAAATAGAACTTCTGGAGCTAAAAATTCAAAAGGAAAAAATAAAATAAAATAAAAAATACAGCAGATGAAATAATTCATCAGAGAGGTCTAATAACAGTCCTGAGCAAACATGAACACAGGATAGCAGAAAGTATGCAGTCTGGGTAGCAGAAAGAAAATGGAAAAAATAAAATAAAATAAAAATAAATAAATAATTTTTTTTTAAAAAGAAAATGGAAAAGAGAAATGAATTGCTACCTAAGAGACCTATAGAATTCCACCAACTGCAGAAAGTTAAACATTGTAAGAGTCACAGAAAGAGAAGAGGGAGAGAAGAGGGAGAAACTGTAAATGTTTGAGGAAATAATACCAGAAAACTTTCAAATTTGGAGAAAGTCATGAATCTACCTATGCAGGAAGCTCAAAATAGATAAAAACAAAAATACTCATACCAATAAATATTTTAATCAACCTTAAATAGCAAAGACATGAAGGATTATTGGAAATAACAACATTGAGGAGAGTCATCACACAAAAGCTCCTCAATAACAGCAATAGCTGGTTGCTCTTCTGAAACTGTGGAGTGCAGAATCAGTGTTGTGATATATTTAAAATTCTGACAAGTAAAACTTTCCACTAAGAATTCTATACCTACCAAAATAATTTTTCCTAAAGGAGGATGAATTTAGTAATTCCAAGATTTATGAAAAAATAACCCAAGGGCATTCTGCACTAATAAATGCTAAAATGACATAGTTATAAGCTTGAAATAAAGAAGACTAAACTATAAATCAAAGCTATATTAAGAAATAAAGATCATTATTGACAATAAGATATGCACAATGTAGAAGCTAATGATTCTATGTTACCTGTTTTTGTCAATATGTGATATTAAAGAGAATTCATCAAGCAAAAGCAACAGCAAGTATATGTTACTAAGCACACAATGTATAAAAAAGTAAATTGTGACAGCAATAGCACAAAGACCTGTAGAGTTGGAGAGGAGCAAAGTCATGCATTCAATCTGAAATTGAAATAATGTCAATACAAAGTAGATTGTTATAAATTTACAATGCTGTCAGAAACTACCACTATAAGTATAAGATAATAATTTTTAAACACACAGAAAAAAAAATTCAGAAGGAACTAAAAATCTTTACTAGAAAAGATAATGATATAAGTATTGTATAACAAAAAAAGAATAAGGCATATAGAAAGAAATAGCAATAAAATTGAACTAAGTCATCCAATACCCTAATCAATTGAACTACAAATAATTAAGATAGTAGTTTAAAATACATTTGTGGGAAGATTTTTTGTTAAAACCTTTTGCACTGTCTATAAAAGAATCACTTTACATCTGAAAACACAATTGTGTTGAATGTGAACGATTATTTTCCACAGAAATAGTAGCCTAATGGAGTAACAATATTTTCCAGGATCAATTTTAAGCAAAAAATACCAATTGAGCATATGACTGTTCAAAATAAAGTCAGTGGTGGTCCATTTTCAAGGCATTTAACCCTAGCTGCTTACTTGCCTATCAGCTTGAAAATGTTGGGGGAAGGACAACTGATTCAAAAACTTAAATTGGGTGGGGCAAATCATGACAGAGTGGGGGAACAGGTTACCTGACAGCATGTATCACAGAGAAGCCTGTCTGCCATGAATAGACAAAGGGAGGTAGTAACTTAAGCCTACTTCTAAAATTTGAACAATCCCAAAAGGCATAACCCACTAGGAATTAGGCAACATCCAAAAGAATGCACACCCCACAGTACTCAGTCAATGAGGAACTTGTGCACTAAGTAATATAATGCTTATTGGAACATCTTCCAAAGTCTCTGTTTGTCAGCATCCAACCTTGCAAGATCGCCATTAAAGTCTCATTTCCACTGTACTCCATGTGTTTGATCCTACTCTTTGAGTTTGGACAGGTGAGCACATTTCTCACTTCTTGGCAGATCATCCAGATCTCTGTGCCCATGTGGAGCAGGCCCTAGGTGAGGGGGGAGACAAGTCCCACCTGATTTTAGTGGCCTGCTTGTCCTGGGTGTCCCATCTCTCTGCAGAAGCCATAGATAAACCTAAGACTGTTTACCGGAAGGCAGTGAGAGTGACACAGGAAAAAAGTCACCACATACCCAGGAACTCTCATGCATGAGCCAAGGTAGGAATATTGGACTATAAGTACTACCTTGGTGGTTGGGTATTTTCAGAAATCAAGTGTGTGTGACTGAGTTGTGTTTTAGATACGAAGCAAGCATGAAGTCCCAATTGTGTGGTTTCCTTCTTTCATGTGGAAAATGGCCAGAGACAGAGAAAGCAAATCTCAGGTTGTGCAAGAAACCTCTAGTATGGGGGGTGTTGAGCACACAGGATAGTCATGGGGACCTGCAGAAAATAGGAAACAGGAATCTAGGCCTAGGGAAATGAAGAAAAGTAAAGCCAAGGAGGGTCCTTTGGACATTACCCCAGATAGTCCACTGGGGAGAATGTTGAGGTTCTGGGGAGACAGCACCA